GGTCAACATATGATCTATTCTAGAGACTGTTCTGTATGCGCTTGAGAAGTATGCATATTCTAGTTCTGTTGGATGGGATGATCTGTCTACTTTGCAGTATAGTTCAAGTTCACAAGTTGGCTGTTTCTTATTGATTTTCTGTCTGGATGACCTATTATTAATTGAAAGTGGGGTATTAAAGTCCCCCACTCTCATAGTATTGATGTCTATTTCTTCCTTGAGATATGTTAGTATTTGCTTCATATACTTAGATGCCTCAATTTTGGGTGCACACATATTTACAATTGTTATATTCTTTTAGTGAATTGACCCTTTAAGGAAGCAAGGGTTCTCTCTAGTTGTTGGATACTATCAAGGAGTAGAGACAGAAGAGCAATTAGATATTTCAATGATGATGTCATTGGTGAGGAACCAGTCGACAAAGATACACAACGTTTTTTGTCTCATGACAGATTTTGACCAGAAGTCTATTTTGTTTGATATAAGTGTAGCCATCTCTGCACACTCTCTTTCTATTTTATTTTATTTTTTACCATTTGCATGGAATATCTTTTTCCATCCCTTCACTTTCAGACTCTGTCTTTAAATCTAAAGTGAGTGTCTTGCAGACAGACTATTGTTTTTTTTGTTCATTAAGTCACTTTTTCTTTTGATTAAATAAGTTAATCTATTTATATTTAAAGTAATTATTGATAGGTAAGGACTTACTATTGCCATTGTGTTAATTGTTTGCTGACTGTTTTGTAGGTCATTTGTCCCTTCTTTCAAATCTTGCTGTAATTTGCTGAATTTTTGAAGTGTTATGTATTGATTCTTTTAAAAAAATCATTTGTGTGTTTACTAGAGGCTTTTTCTTCATAGTTATCATGAGACTTACATAAAACATTTTATAATGTTCTAATTTAAACTTATAACAACTTAATTCTAATTGCATACGAGAGCTCTACATTTTTATTTTTCTCCAAGCCCATATTTTGTTCTTCATTCTTCCAAATGACTGCTGGTTTCTCATCAATGACATGATCATTCCTGCCTAGTTCTTCCCATTTCTTCAGCAATACCTATAAAATATCTAATTGCTCATCTGTCCCCGCTTCTTGATAGTATTCAAATCTTGCTTTCTTAATTCGTACTTGGATTCACTTAGCAAAGCCCATACTGTATAAAAAGCCTGTCCCATGTTTTTTACTGAAATACAGCTTCTGTGGAGGGTGTTGCTGCAGAAGCAAATTAAATCCACATTTTTGATTACAGTCATATTTGGTCACAATAGGTTTTAACAAAATAAAGTTCCTATGTAAGAATTTGATTTATCTTATTAAATATGTAAAATAACTCTTCCATAAATTTATTTTTTAAGTTTTTTTCTCATCTTGGTGGTTTTGTCATCAACTGGAAGAGATTAATTAACATTTACTATTACTATTGTGCTTCTTTTACCTGTTTATTTCTTTTTTTAAAAAACTTTGTGACTTTTAAAAATTTATTTAACTTATTTATTAATTATAGAGTTGTGGGGTACAAGTGAGGATTTACTACATAAGTAGGCTGCATGCAGTTGAAGTTTGGGCTTCTAGATGGCTCTCAATCCGTCTGGTAGTGGACTAGGTAGGCTTTGTGTTGTCACGTGTCACTCACACTTCTCCCTCCCTCCCTCCTCTAGCAGTGTTCAGCGACTGCCAATCCCACTCTTGTGCTAATGTGACTAGTGATCAGGACCCACTTATGAATGAGAACTATTAAAGCTATGTTATTTGGTACACAGATTCCCAAAGGATATTTCACATTTCTTTACAGCCTAGTTCCTACGAGCAAAGGCATTTACAGCCATCACATCTTTTTTTTATTTTTAATTTTAAAGATTTGGGGTACAATCCAGGATTAGGTATACAAATGTTCATTATGCAAGAACTCTAGTTGGTGAGGTGTGCCCCCACTTCCCCTGGCAGTTTCCCACCACTGCCAATCCCTCTCTCCCCCCCCCCCCCCCGGCAGTTTCCCACTACTGCCAAACCTTTTCTTATAGTATTACAATAATTGTTCAAGGTCCGCTTATGAGTGAGAACCTGTGATACTCAGTCCTTTGTTTCTTTTTTTTTTTTGAGTTGGAGTCTCACTCTGTCACCCAGACTGGAGTGCAGTGGCCGCTCCCGGCCACTGCAGCCTCAACCTGCTGGGCTCCGGCGATCCTTCCGCCTCAGCCTTCCAAGTAGCTGGAACTACAGGCGTGCGCTACCACGCCGGCTAATTTTTTGATTTATTGTAGAGATGAGGTCTCACCAAGTTGCCCAGGCGGGTCTCGAACCTGCTGGCTCGGGCAATCCACTCACCTCGGCCTCCCAAAGGGTGGGATTACAGGCTGAGCCACCGAGCCCGGTCTAGTCCTTTGTTTCTGATAGACAACTCAGTATTATAGACTCTAGGTCTATCCAAGTTTTGCTGCAAAGCTCATAATTTTGTCCTTCTTTGCTGCAGCCCGGGCGGCTGCCTTGAGGGTCCCGAGAGAGAGCCACGAGAGATCAAGAAAGACACAGACACAAAGATATAAAGAAAAGCTGGGGCCAGGTGGGACACTTTCCTCTGATGGAGGAGAAATGGCCCGGAACTAGCTCAGCATGTTTATTTTATAATCGAGCACAAAGAAGGTGGAAGGGATTCAAGGTCTGTGAGGGAATTATAATGAACGGAAATTTGTGGCTACCTAAAGGCCAGCTGTTCCAGGTTATCTTGTTGTAGCTAAGGCTTTATCTGTACTATGTGCACCTGGATGTGTGGGCATCTGAGACGCCGTTTCGTGTAGCAGGCTGCATCCCCTGCCATAAGCTAGGATGCAGAGCTATCAAGCAAGACCTTGCCATGGCTTGGGGCCTTTACTCAAGGCCTGCTACAGTGACAGTGCTCATCCGCTCCCCACATCACATTCGCCCCGACACTTCTTTATGAACAGCCATTACATTTAAGAACGTTTATGTAAGGAAACTTACCAGTATAGTAAAACTTAGAAATGTTTCCCTCCCCAGAGATGGCCTAGGATGTAAATAAAGACTTTTCCTTTCCTGTCTGTAGAATATTTTCTTATATTTCAGAGTGAAAATGAGGTTGATTTCAACAGAGAGGAGGATGGGCAGGTCACCATCAATGCTATATAAACTTTGAGTTTTCTAATTTTGAGATTTCGCTCCTGTACTGCACTTTACTGCATGGACTGGTACCATCTGGTTTCTCTTGTTATTTTTGGGTTATGGTTGACTTCTTACCCTAGTGTTCCTGCCTCAGCCCATGTGTTTGGACCTTCTAGAAATGTTGGGAAAGATAGTGAACTCCAGCCTATTAATCCTCCCACTTACTCCACTCTATAATTTAACTGACTAATGAGATTAGGGGAAGAATTGGAATATATGTTCTTAGCCTTCTTTGATGGGTGTGTGCTTGATATACATCTATGCAATATATATATTTAATACACTTATTTATTTTATTTTTCCAAATGGCAAGAACACAAAGGTCTGAGCCCATATTTGACTTCTAGTGTTTTTTTGTTTTTTGTTTTGATGGGATCTCACTCTGAAGTGCACTGGCATGATCACTGCAGCCTTGACTTCCTGGGCTCAAGGGATCTTCCCACCTCAGCCTTTTAAATTGTTGAAACCACAGGCATGTGCCACCACACCAGGTGAATTTTTGTATTTTTTGTAGAGACAAAGGCTTACTATGTTGCCTAGGCTGGGCTCAAGCAATTCTCCCATCTCTGCTTCCCAAAGTATTTGGATTACAGGTGTGAACCACCAGGCCTGGCCTGCCTTCTAGTTTTAAGCCTGAAGTCCTGCATTCATTCTTACTCTTAGAAATTGAGGGGTATAAGACATCACCTCCAGTTAAGTAAGTCTGTTCTGTAGCACCAGCGGGTATTGTTTTTCTAAGATATACACCTGCAAGAGGGTGTAGAAAAATTTTCAAGTAATGTTTACCAATGTAAAATTGATATGCTCCACATCTTCTTGATTCTTGTGTCAATTTCCTAATTTGTCAGGGAAACTAAGGCAAGGATAGATAGGTCCTTAATGCTCCAATATCTATGAGAATTTCCTCAGTTTTCTTTCCTCCTCTTAGTTTTTGCATATAGAAAGGCCAAAGAAATGGTTTTTCAAATTTGACTTTGCAACAACAGATAGATTAGCTATAGAGAGATAGCAAGAGTAATAGTGCCTTTCAAGAGAAGAGCAGAAAAGATTCCCCTCCTCCTCTGCTGAGTCCTTCTACTCTATTTAACGGAAGTACTTACACAACACCGATAATGCACTCCTCTTTGATTTGCTTTTCTTTTATTGATGGCAGATATTTCAAAAAAGGCTTATCAAAATGTACACAAGTATTTTCAAAGGCATGGTTTCAATGCATTTTCTTTAAGGAGCTCATGGGTTAGAAGTTGTTTATTTTTAATTTTTTTTCTTCAGCTAAGACAGCAGAAGAGATGACGTATTGCACACTTGTTATATTCGGCCACAACTCAACACAGAACGAATCCAGAATGTCGCAGGTCCAGGGCAAAGGACCATCAGGGACTGTTTTAGTATAATGAGCAAGGTGGATCTCTCATAGGTGGTCTTGACAATCGGATGCCATGGAGTTCTAGATTCCTTGAGAGATAACCTAGACAGCATGCAGTCTGACAACTTGTACCAGCATCCCGAGCCTCTGGCATTCCATGTTTCTGTTTCTGTGGCCTCAATGGGTGCACAAGCTGGAGGCTTACTTGGACCTCTGCCTCCAGGATCTTTCTTCTTTTGCGCTTCAGACTGTGCATTCGCTTCTTCTTCCACTTAGCTTTCATGTCATGGAGGTTTCTAAGAAGAGGGTGCTAAGGCTGAGAGAAAGAGACGTTTACTTAATCATCAAGAGATCATTTAATTTATTTATTTAATCATTGAGAAATAAGAGCGCACTGTTGGTTTGCTTGTTGAACTGTGTTGAGATAAAAAAATCAATATTCATATTAGAAACATTTCTTTCCTATCTTTTTTAGGGCTTCAATCACATCTTAGTTTCTCAGGTTGTAGATCAAGGGGTTTAACATGGGAATAATAATTCCATAAAACACAAAAGCCACTTTTTCCTGCTCTTGAGACTCATTAGTATGATGGTGTAGATACATGTAAGAAAGAGTCCCATAGAAAATGGTGACTGCTGTCAGGTGAGAAGCACATGTGGAGAAGGCTTTTTTCCTTCCTGCAGCAAAAGATATCCTTAGGATGGCAGCCAGGGTATATATGTAGGAAAATATGACGACCAACACAGTGCACATCAAGTTCATTTCCACAGACACTGTTAGTAGCATGATGTTGAGGTTAATAATGGAGCGTGATAGGGCAAGAATTGGGGGTTCATCACAAAAAAAGTGATTAGTTGTATTGGATTTGCAGAAGTTCAATGAGAAAGTAAAACTAATGTTTACAGAGGCATTTAGGAAACCCATGACATATGAACCAACCAACAGCTGAATGCAGAGTCTCTGGGACATGACAACTGGATAGCGAAGTGGGTTACAGATGGCTACATAACGGTCTACTGTCATAGCAGCCAGGATGTAACAGTCGCTTGTTGCAAAAGTACCATAGGCTAGTAATTGCACCATACATCCTATGAATGAGATGGATTGTTTTGTCTCTACAAAGTTTTCCAACATCATGGGAGTGATAGCAGAGGTGTAACAAAGATCAACAAATGCCAGGTGTTGGAGAAAAAAATACATGGGAGTGTGAAGAGAAGAATCAATTTTGATGAGTAGTATCATTCCAATATTACCCATGAGGGTAGCTACATAGATCACTAGAAATACTATGAGAAGTATATGCCAAGACTTGTGTTGACCAGCAAATCCCAGAAGAATGAATTCAGTCACTTCAGTGGTGTTATTTTGCTCTATGGCTAGTATAGATTAAATATCAACTGAACATATGCAAAGAAAGAAGAGAAAGAAGAATCTAAGATCATGTGATCCTTTAACTTATTTCTTTAACTTATTGTGAAACCAAGTATTATACAGTTACCAATTCTTATTCCAGAATTGGTAACTGTATAATACTTGGTTTCACAGCGGAGTCAGAGGATACTTTCTGTGAAATAATTGACTTTGATTTTAAAGTCTGAAACTCGAGACATAACTTAAAATTTCATCTATTATTTGAACAAATTGCTATGTAGTAGTTACTATGTTCCCAGAGTACAAACAGGGATTTCATAAATATATCTACTAAGAAGTATATAAAACATTCTTACAGGTAATCAAGTTTTCTTTTATGCTTTATATGTTTTAATTAAATTGCCCCACTTACCTATACAATAATTTTATATCTGAAAATCTTCACTTCTCCTTTAAGGTTCTATATGATCTTGTTTCAACTTACCTCCATTTTCTCATTTTTATCTTTTCCCCCTTCTTACTAACTCTGGTTTATAAAGGCCAGACTTTGTCTGTTGCTGGCTTGACAAACACTCTGTAGTATCATGGCCACCATGATGCATGGCTATGTAGCATTCTCCACTAGAGTATTTACCCAAGTATCTATGCCACATGATCATATTTTGAAAATAATTCCCAATCTGTTGTCTTCTAGTGGTGGATAGCAGATTTCTTACAACTTGTTGCCAGTGCAAGTCAATCAGTGTGAAAATGCCCCTGGGATATATTCATAGGGACAAAATTGCTGAATCTGAGAATATGCACACTTTAACTTGACCAATATTACCAGATCACTTTCCATAATAAATGTGCCAGTGTACAGTCTTACTAATTGTGCACGGGGTTCCTATAGCCTCACTTTTTTGAGAACGTGGGTGTTTTACTATTTTTTTTGGACCAGGAAAACAGTGTAAAGTGATATCTCATTTTTATTTTTTCTTTCTATTTATGAATGGATTCAATGATGCCTAACATTCGTCTTAGAATTTTGGATTCTACTTTTCTATAATTTACCTGTTCATATTTTTTGCTAATATTTATATTGAGTTGATTTATAAGTGCTCTTTTTTAAATCCTAGAAAATCTTGCCAGTTTGACTAGACAAATACTCTGTCATCTATTAACTTTGTCTATAGTATCCTTTATAGACCAGAAACTATTTAACTTGAAATTAATTTTTCATTTCCTTGCCTTCTGATTTGTTCTTTTGAAAAAAATCAAATAAAGTCCATTTCTTTCTTTAGTTCATTTCCCCAGTAGCTACCAATACAATAATAACACTTATTTTCTCCTTATAATGGGTTGCTGGTACATGATGCTTGTTGAATCATGATACTTTATACCATGTATATAATTTGATAAGTGTTTTTTTGTAGATTCTCATTTTTTTAAAGAAAGCTAAGAGGATAAAAGTTGGTACTGGTATGTATGTACCAAATATTCGGATATTATAAACCATTAAATGATTTGACTTTCTATTTTATAATCTATTAAAAAAACTCACTAGAATCAATGGTGTTGAATATGTGACTTAGATATACAGATAAAACTTGAAGAAAACATAAAAACACAAATTACAAAACACTGAAAATAGAAAAAAATCAACATTATAAAAGAGGATAGACTAGAGACTGTAAATTTACTGAGGTAAATTTATTTTTTTGACACATATAAATGTCACAAAATTGGTATTAAAGGACATAAGCAGATAATTATAAAAGAGGAAATCCAAATCATCAATAGAAATATGGAAAGATGAGCAACTCGCTAACAATCAGATAATTGCATATTAATACATCATTGAAAATATAATTGTATGCTCATCAATCTCAAATGCCAAGTTTTGGACTGGATAAGAAATTGTGGTACATGTACACAACGGAATATTATGCAGCCACAAAGGACAAACATATGGAATTTGTAGCAACTTGGATAGATTTAGAGCCTATCATACTCAGTGATCTATCACAGAAACAAAGAACAGAATACCATATGTTTTCACTCATAAGTGGACCCTGAACAATTACCATAAGAAAAGGATTGGCAGTAGCGGGATACTGCTGGGGTGTTGGGGAGTGAGGGAGGAACACGACATCAAAAAGGGTGTCTGATCTCAAACCAGGCAAAGTGGTGATCAAAGGGAGACCCTAGTTTTTTTTTTTTTTTTAGTTGGAGTCTCACTCTGTCACCCAGGCTGGAATGCAGTGACATGCTCACAGTTACCCCAGCATCGACCTGCTGGAGTCAGGCAATCCTTCTGCTTCAACCTTCCAAGTAGCCAGAACTACAAGTGTGTGCTACCACGCCCAGCTAATTTTTTGATTTATTATAGAGGTAAGGTCTTGCCAAGTTACCTAGGCTGTTCTCGAACTCATGGGCTCAGGCACTCCTCTCGCCTTGGCCTCCCAAAGTGCCGGGATTGCAGACTTGAGCCACCACACCTGGCCAAGGCCCTAACTTTACCTGTATGACGACCACTTATATACCTTATCCTGAATTGTACCCCACATCTTTAAGATTAAATAAATAAATAAAATGCCAAGTTTTGGTGAGAATGTGGAGCCACAAGGACTCATGTATTTCTGCTGGGAAGATGAATTAATACAGTCAGGTTGAAGACAAATTTGGAAATATTAGTAAAATTAGATACATACTTCTCTGTGGTCCAAAACTTCCCAAATAGGTACATATTCTAGAGACATTCATGATCACAAATACAGAGGTATATACACATACACATATGTATGAATATATGCCTATGTAGATGCACACATACACACGAGTGTTTATAGCAGCATAGTCATAAAAGACATACAAGCTATGAAACAAATTAGTAAGTTGGTGCTATAGCATCAACATGGATAAATCTCTCAAATGCAGCACCAAGTAATAAAAAAAAAACAAATTGCAGAAGTTAGACAATAGTTACATGAGTGGTTGTTACATTATTTTAAATATATTTTGTACATCTTAAATATTGTGAATAACAGAAATTGGACAAAGAAGAAAAAACTATGCCCCTAATACTTCAATTTTGGACTTCTTTTCCCTGATGTCAGTAATGCTGGACAGAGCTGTGGCTTCGAAGATGAGATGGTTTGTTTTAGGTAAGAACGTGCCTTTATTGGTGAGGGGTCTAGTAAACTAAGCCTGCTGTTGATGCGGCTTGCTCTGGCTCTTTTCACCAAATTGAGAAATAAGCAGAGTAGGTCAACTTACAGTAATAGAACGAGGAAAAAGAAACAAGTCTCTTCAGTTCTACATTTAGTGAGGGCTGAGGGCCAATACATTTGTGTAAGTTGCATTCTCAAGTAAATTTGCTGTTAAATACATGAAATGCAAGTCTTTCGGGGGGCTTCCATCTAATGGACAATAACACTTGTCAGAGGAAGCTAGAATAGGTCAGGGTCCACTTAAACTAGAATCTTGGTAGGGTAAAGACAATGAGATGATTTATGTAAGCTTCCTGGCACAGGGTCAGTATTGCATGGGTGCTCAAAAATTAGTCAAAATATACATGCAAATAATACATTAAGGGCATATTATATTTACTCATTTAATCATTCCTTCATTTCTTCATTCACAATCTTCTCAGGCAACACTCAGCCCAATTTAGTTCCCTCACTCCATTTCCGTAATATCACCAGGGATGAAGTGATTCCTCCCGTCTTTGGAGTAAAACATGCTGGAATTTGGGCTCTGATTCTTGCACCACCATTACCTGCACGCGCTGCAGTGATACATAGCTGAAGTTGAAAGTGGGCTTTGCTTTATTTTATGTACACCAAAGTTGCTTCCAGATTATTTTTCTGCAATTACTGCAGGCTGATTGCCCACCAAGGTATCTCTGTGTTTGGTTATTATCTGTCAGGAGTTCACAGTTGGGGCCTAAGTGATCAATCTTCACTCCCTTGAGATCTGAAGTTTCAAGGGATGAGATAGAATCGGGCAGAACAACATTCACTGCTTACTTTATGCTGACAAAGGTTTAAGCTTTCTAGAGGGACTTTTTTCCCCCAATATTGCTGTCATTAGAAACTTTTTGTTTCATTTATACAAAAGTTGTCTTGTTAAGAAATAGCTGTTTTTTCCTTGTTATGAATGAGATTGAACATGTTTTCATACATCTAAGGATCTGTTTTAGGTCTAGCTAATTATCCTTGTTACCACAATCAGTAATAAACCTAGTTTTCTGGAAAAAAAATAGAAGCCTAACCTAAATTTAAGAGCATATGGTATCTAGTATGATGAATAGAGGTACTGCTATTTGAACATATTTTATATTATCACATTGACTACTGTGTATATATTTAAAAATTTACTCGTGATCCCTTCTTGCCGTTCTTTTTCTAAAACTTTGTATATTTAGAAATATAAAACAGATAACTTTTATTCCAGTTGCATTTTACAGCATCAGAATATTTCAGGTAGACATCTGTGGAATAAAGCTCCCAGGTCAAAACCTCTGATTTAATCAATCTGATAGGAGAAAGCTAGATTCAGTGAATTTGTAGCTTTTGATTTACCAGCAAAGACATGAAAGAGAGTTTCTCTCAAAGGCTGGTGAATTGACATGCAACAATACTTATTGCTTGACCAGTGTCTTCAGAATGTGTTCAGCTTCTAGGAGAAGAAATCCCAATTTACTTTGGCTTAAACCCAGAGATTTATTTTTCCTTTATAATAATAGTTTGTGAGTCAAGACTAGCTCTTTTGTGATTTGTTTAGTCTTTCCATATTGCTGATTCTGTCATAGTCTAACATGTCTACTATAGCTCTAGATATCACATTCCTATTCAAAGCAGGAAAAACAGGGACAAAGATGGCAGGGTGACACCATTTATGTACCCTTGATATATGCGGTGTATATATTAAGGGTATATAAAGCTTTCCCCCAAGTTCCCCAGCAAACTTCCACTTACATCTTGTTTGCTAGAACTGTCTACAACATAGATTAG